GTAATAGGGTCTACGAGTAGGTACCCTGGTAAAAAACATAATAGTGTTCTTGTAGTATTTTTTCAGTATTTTAAAATGCTCTTTCTTAAGTCCTAATTTTGTTCTTTTTGTTCGCAGGTTAGTATCGACCCCGTGACCGCGGATCACAAGGATATGAAGATATTAGTAAGTACTGAATTTGTTATTATGTTTGTTTATATATTTGTAACTTTAGCACAACATAATGGGTTCTTTCATTGTCTCTGAGGAATCTACACATCTTTAGGATCCTTCTGTCGATTCAAAGTGTGGCGGTGCTTACAATTAATAGCTACCACCAATCAATACTTTCATACCTATTTTATATTCCTAAAAAGGAGGCAAGATTCCGATACCAACTTGCCATTATAATGTTTAAATGACTGCCTTATTTTCTTCCATAATATATATACGTACTTTACGTGAGTTTTTAGACTAAATTATAAATGTTTGCACCAGCAATTTTGTCTTGAACATCTTAAAGTCAAAATAATGTGCATAGTACCTATAGATGTGTAGATCCTTTTCATTGATAAGGCAATAGAAAACAGTTGGTCTATCGTTACGTCTATGTAGAAACGAAACATGTGACAAGTTAAATACTTAATTTAATGATTTCAGTCTTCTACAAAATGATCTTTGCTGAAAAAGTTCAACAAATTTGTTAGAGTAACTATCCATTAGTTTTCAATAACTTTTAATATATGAATTTTAGTCAGTATGTCAGTGCTATATGTATATATACTACCACATTGTACTGTGTTACTAAGATAATTTTTGTCAACCTTCAGTAAGGATCGTTTTGTCTAAGACAAGTGTCAATAATGTACTAAACCTGTAATTGTAAAACCCCAAAATGCATTAATCAATAGATATCAACGTTTGAAACAATAAAAAAATGGTTAAATTACAAATAGTTATTTGAAAGCATCTTCTAAGTTTATGTTCTGATTTATTTGGAGATAGGTTTTGCAATTGGAGCTTAAATTTTTGTCCAGAATCCTACATAGCAATGACAATTCTTCTTTGAGGTGTTTCTTGAACATATCAAGATCTTAATAAATCTGATAGTTTACTGAGACTGGCAATATGACCAGTTACATACAAAGTCATATCTCCAGGTGCTTATGTATAAAATGTTAGGTAAATTGCACATAGACAGAAGATAATACTAATTCATTTACTTCTTGCGTTTCCTTAATGATTTCTGAGCAATAACGTCGCCTCCATTACGATTTTCCGCCATCGACTAGTGAAATTATATCGGAACGAATATCGAATGACGAAATCGGTAATTTCGATTTGTCGTCATCGATTCGATGGACACTGTGAAATGGGTATTGTGAGCGATGAGAGCCGCGAGTAATGGATTCGATACGGGTTGGATGCGCGCGCGCAAGACACGTGATCCATGACAATGTTATGATATTGTAGTGTTTTATGCAAAAGGAGTTTTTAACTATAGCTTTTGGAGTGTGAAATTTTATGCTTTGGAAAGTTTTACTTACCATCCTTTCTTGATTATAGTTCTTAATCTTAGAAATGTTAGACTCTGTAGACAACTCTTTTAAATACGACATGAGACGAACGTTCAAGTTATTAGTCTCCATGAGTTTTTTGACAAAGACTGCAGTTTCTTATGATCTTTACTTTATTGGATACGTAATCGTCTTCACTAATTAAAATACGTACAAGAAATTCCTCTAACACAGACGTAAACTCTGATATATATCAAAAGTATTTTATATAAAGTTAACTATAAAAGATTAAGTTTAACAAGATCTATATTATTATAGTTTATATAAAGTTTTTCTCATTTTAATGAGACGCTACCATGTATAAATAAGAGATCAGGCGCAGTAAGATAACTGATTCTACATTATAATATGATATTCAATTGCTCATGCGCATCGAATTGGTTCAGACTTCGGAGGAACTAATGTTTTATTTATTAATTGATTGTTTACTGTTCCAACGCAAGCTATAATTTTGCAATTAATTTGATCAGCGTGGATTTATTTACTGAACCAAGTTTCTTATTATCTATACTTAGGTACTATTTATTAATTGATAGATGTACATACATATATTATGATGATGATATCGTTATTTGACAGGTAGACTGTTAAAAACATCAACTGTATTGTCACAGTAACTCATGGACTAATTGGTTAGTCCTACTTAGTTTTAATGACAGTAGACACAGTAATCAATAGTGAAAAAATAATAATAATCAGTAAAATAGAGTAAACATTTTGATCTTTTTACAAAAAAGTCATGGCAAGATGTAATTCAGGGACGAACTGTTATACATTTTATCAATCATACCGATTAACAAAAACATTACCTAATAGAATAGTTTCTAGGGTAAGAAAATTCAAAATCTAATTAGTCCGTCAGTTAGATAATGAAAAAATATTATAGGTACACGTATTTTTTATTTTCTCGTACCTATAAAGTTACAATACTTAAATAAAATGGCGTTAAGTATAGGAGTGGGAGTTAGTTACGTCATAACGTGGTACATTTTGTAGCACGCTGTGACGTCACTCGACATTTCAAATCAACATATCGTCAAAAGCATTTAATTTTGTGAAAAAAGAAAAAATACGTGTCTAATGTTTTAAAATAATCTACCAGACGGACATTAAAATAAGATTAAGGAAACTACCCTATTGATTGACAACCTAATATAACCATAGTTCATGTGATGACGTGAACATTATAATTTGAACAGATATCATCATTTTCGGCAAGATTAGGAACAGAGTTTGCGAGTGAAATTGTAGCCAACATAATAATAATGAAATACAATTTAACAATACAACAATAAGTGGCTTAGAAACTAATCGTTCATTTCACCATGTAACCACGATTATACAATCTAATACCTATTTGTTTTAATACAATCGTTCGTATGCAATTGAAAGGGCTATCGTTGATGCGGACAATGAGCATTGAAGCGGCTCAGGGGACGCCGCGGGCAGCGCCTAGCGTGTGGCCGTTTGTGCTCACATTAACCAATTCTATTACTATAGCGACAGGGTAACAAACATACATAATAGTTATTTTGTAGAGGTATATATAGTTTTGTTGAGTAAATTGTTGTAATGAAATGCGTCTGTAGAATTGGTAGGTTTTAGTTAGGTTTTTGCATGTTCTTGAATGTTGGAATTATCTATATCGAAATTCGAAGTTTAATAATAGGTATACGTACAAAATTTAGTCTTATTTTTTACAGGACTAAATTTCCCTTTATGCATACTTTATAATATATAAAAATTCCCTTTACACACAGGACAAAATTTCGTACGTTTGACTAAGGACCATTTGTTCATGGTTTCAGATAAAAAGGCCTATTACAATATACACATATAATTATATAAAAAATAATAAAAAATAAATAAAAAAAATAGACAAAGACTACCTCTTTTTTCAGAAAATTTTCGTTTAACCTCTTTCCTTATATTTTGTATACTTTCTAACCAATTATAGATGTATTTTTACATTTATGTACTTACTTACATTTAACTATCGGAGAGCTATGCTTCGGCAAGAATGGGCTGGCTCCACAGGCGTGATACCACGGACTCACAGAATACACACGTGAAACAATGCTTCTGTTGTGTTTCGTCGTGTATTTGAGGTTACCAGAGACCCAATTACCCCAATCCCTGGATCCCTAATAATCCTCAAATTCTTAATCCCCAAAAAGCCGGTAACGCACATGTAACGCCTCTGGTGTTTCAGGTGTCCATGAGCGACATCGATTGCTGACCATCTGCCCGTTTATTGGCTTATCATTAAAAAAAAAACTACTTTCATACAATCTCTATGTTTTATCAACTAACTCAAAAGATAAATAAAGATGTTAGTTAAGACACAACTAATATTTTCCCGAACAAAAATACTGGCCGCAGTAGCACTTAGCTTACTCAAAGTAAATAGACCCTTATCTATCTTAGGTACATAATATATAGGGACCTACTTATATACCCTTTTGTAGACAGAGGGTCGTTGGCACGGCAAACAAGGGATTACTAAGAATATTTTCCTTCTCGAATGGATTTAGTTGGAATCTCTTTTGTTACGAAAATAAGATAGAGTTTTGCAAAATGAAACTCTTTTAGAACGAGTATAAGGTTAATTTTAATAGTATATTGGTATTGAGTGTTGTTATTTTAAAAAACTCGGAATATATAGAGATGAAGAGTTTTTATTTGTTATGTTAAATGTTATAGCGTTTGTCTTAATCGATAAGTCAGCTTGAATTTTTACCCGACTAACTACTGCAAAACTGAACGATTTTATATGGTGATTGTAGGTACATTTTGCTCAAGAATATTTACAGTATAACGATCACGCCTTTTTAGGTACCTAAAGAATTTCTCCAGGTAAGGTACCTTTACCTACTATCACCTTCACTTCAAGTTCAGGTACCAAAAATTCAAACAAACAGCCTACTTAAAAACCGTTTTCAACTACCAAGGAACTTCTAATCCATATAATCGAACTGTAAAGAAATACCTATTTATTCGCAGTTTATTTGACGGTAACTATTGTTTACAAGACAAGAACTAACTTTGTCACAGTTCAATGGGACAATTATAGGCTATAAGCTATCGTTTCAATGACAATTACCACCGTGTTCGTTACCGTAGACAGCCCTTTTAATATTTCCAATAATTTCCCTCATCCACGTGGCTATTTAGCGTTTAAGGGCGCCACTGTCGTTTTTGATCGACCTTGTTAATTTCTGCATTTTGAATAATTCTGTTTTAAGGTGAGGATTATATGGTGGTGTTCGATCTCGTTTTACTTTTTTTCTGCTAACTATTTAGAGAGTATATTTTCATAAGTACCTACTATCTGTACTATTAAATATTAGGTATAACTTTAGACTTTCGTGAGAAGACGAAATTATCGTGTTTTCTTCTTCTTTTATAATATCTTCTGATTTAATGGTTGCGGGATCCATAACTGTTATTCATGTCCCTGGGACAAACCGGACTTAGGTGTTTTGGTGTTTTCATGGTTGTATCGGCTATAGATCCTGACTTACACGAGTTGCAGCGGTTTTAGGAGGTTGTAGCGGTTGTCTCAAAAAAACTTTTCATACATACTAAATGAATTAGTATGTTTTCGGC